CCGACTGCCTCACTCTCCTCTTCCATACTCAGTCCACATCTTTTTCCAGCTCATCCTCTCACCCTCGCTCTAGCCTCCACTACCGTCTCATTGTGGTAGTGCTCCGCGCACATATAACCATGAGACCATATCATCACATCATAGGAAATCGAGGTCTGGAAGGTCACTCGCGCCAGTACATCAACTCTACGCTCGTGGATCAAATCCCTGGCTCGTTGTCTGCACTCACTCGCTGTCAAGTCCTCGTCTACGTACGCTCGGAGAAGTACTTTCACAGTGTATCCTGCGCTTACCAGTTGCTCTCCTACATGGATCACCGTGGCCGTCCTTCCCGGCATTCCCTAAGCTGCGGCCTCGAAGAGTAATCTTACATCCTTCAGCCCCGCGTAATCGATCTCTGCCCGTCTCCTGCAGTACCTAATCAGATCGATTGGCCTCAGACGGTCCACCCAGCTAGTAACGTCTATGATAACGTCAGGCGTCTCTCTACTGGGCGGCCCCCACCTCACACAAATGGCGTAGTATACTTCCTTGAAGCGGGGCGCTAAGCCCTCCCAGAGCGCGTAAAGTGTGTGGTCCACTGCACTACTCAAACGATCCACGCTCCCATAGGTCTGCCCTATCACGAAGGTAGGAAGTCCGAACCGCCAATCCTCTCTCGGGTAGAGGGTCGGATGTGGTGGACCGTATACCAAGCAGCTCCAACTCGTCCTCCCTCCAGAGAGTCTCGCCAGTTGCTGATTAACGATCACTCTGGCCAACGACTCTCTTCTCCACCAACTCCTGTTCGCCCCTGCGAGCGTCAGTCCTATCTCTAAAATGTGTGCTCTATCCGCTATCAGATGTCCGACCCCTTCTAGATCATGAGTCCTCTCAGGTCGTTCGTCTCGTAGTATCACTGTCCAAAGGAAGAGCCCCTCTGCGAGCCACGTTCCCAAGTATCGTATCGGTACACGCCCTGCCTCTTCTAACGCCACAGGAAGTGGTATGTCGTATCCAACCGCCGTCTCTCTGGGTCCCACAAGCTTCCTCACACTATACGATTCGGACTCTCGTGAGAGAACATAAGCTAACCAGGCCACTGAATCACTCCTCATCTCTTCTCCTACTCTCGGTCAGCATCACTCTACTCTCTCCGATGCACTCCATCTCTCGACGTTGCTTACCCTTCAGACAACTCTCGCACTCAGGTCCAGTATGGTCGAGTAGGATCAGTAACTAAGCTCACTCAACCGTCGCCCTAATGTGCTCCTCTACCTCCTACGCCCGGACTGCTATTCCTATCCTGGGAAAATGGGCGTCTGTAACGTCAATCTCCTCCTCGTCAACCTCACTCTCAGGGTCGACCCAGTCTGGCTCCCAGGCGTCCTCGTCGTCCTCTCGCTCCCAACCCTCATCGTCAAACTCGTCCTCGACGCGGTATAGCACCTGTCCTATACCCTGGTAGTATTCCGCCAACTGATGGCCGTATATCAGAGGTCGCCTGGCGTCCTCACCCCACCAGCTCTCCCAGTCGTCTGAGAAGAGCCGCCCGATGCAGGTCACGTACTCGGGGCCTGCTCGGAGCTCACAATCTAGCCAATCCCAAACGCACGGAGACTGGGGCCACTCGTCGTCTATCGAGCGGATCAGCTCTATAAGCTAAACCCTCTCGTCTCCCCAACGAGGCCCACCGGTTGCGAGCGAATAATAGATGTAGTCTAGGTCGACATGCCTTCTCCCCAAGATCTTGAGATCCTGATAGGCCAGGTATGTCTCGACCACTCCACCAATACCTCCAAAGACGCTCTCTACTACGAACGTCGGAACTATCGCCCGCAAGTACGGGAAAAACCCGTCCCGTGCTACTACCAGCTCGCCCGTGATATCAAGAGGAGGGCGTCCGTGAAATAGGGTCAACGGGTCGCTCGAGTCCTCCGCTCGGAAGGCAGCTACCTCTTCCCCTAGGTAGCATAACGCCCTGCTAACTATGCCACTAGTCCCTGTCGTCGCGAGGCCCAACACGGCCTCCCTGACCGCACCTAGTCCCAAATACAAGTAGGCTCTCACTACGCCCACTCCTTGCCCCGGTCGGTGCTCTCTGTACGTCCAAAGCCACACGTCCTCGGACAAGATTATGGACCTCCACGCAAACTGGCCGTCAACGTGTCGAATGTTGCGCCCGGGGATCGTGAGCTCCACCAGATCCCCCTCTTTGAGTTCACGGGGCTCAAAGTCCCAGTCAATGGTAGCCCCATAGACCTCTACTTGCACCCGCGGCCACATTCAACTGGCGGCAAGAGAGAATGCAGCAAGAGAGAGGTGTAGATTAATAACTGAAAATTCCCGTCGCTTGCCTCACGCCTTCTGGAACAAGCTAGTAGGTTCACCCGAAACCAAGTTACCGCAGCGTCTCTTTC